CACATTATTTTTGGTTTTACAATAGTCTATAGAATCTATAAATTAGGAAAAATTACTAAAAGACATTGATTTGCAACTCAATTAAGGTTATATAATTCATTGCACAACATAAAGTTGAGAAAAAATTGAAGCAAGAACCAAAATGGTTTATTTTTTATTAATTTCAAATAAATAATATACAAAAAATTCCATATGTTTAAAATTATGATGGCTAAAGATTTTAAATTCTAAACCACCTCACAATAAATTATTCTAAATCATATATTGATATAATTGTGTGCCATTATTCTATCTTAAATTTGTTTTTTTCAAAAGAATCGTTGTTTTTGACATAGTATCAGAATTCTTCGATGGCTTTTGGCTTGTCTTTGTGAATTTAGTCATCTATATATTATCCAAACCGATCAACATATTATGCAAAATTCAACATATAAAAATCTAGTCCATGATAAATTTATATCTATATTAAAACTGAGTTGAATTTGGATTTTTCTAAGCGAACTTCACTTACCTTTTAGAAACTCAATATAATGTTTATTTGTAACTCCGAATATTACCAAATAATAACTAAACTCTTTATTTATTGGTTTTTTGCTATCTAGAGTCTTATAGCTAAGAATTATTGTTTGACTCACATCATACGCCAAATCTACAAAGAAATACTTTCTATTATCAAAGTATTTTTTAGAATTTTTGAATATTTCTATTTTTTTGAATATTCTTATATCTACACACAATCAAGGCCAACATGTGATTAGCTTAATGATATAGCAATTAAGATTACATATGACTTCAAGATTTATAAATATTTCTTCTTTCTATCAAAAAATATTTCACTGTCATTTTTTGGGCATTAACTCAAGGAAAACTATGTCTTGTTAATAAGTTTAATACAACCTTCAAATTCTAAAAGAATAAATGACTAGTTAATTTGAAGCCTTTATATAGTATTTAGATATTGTAGATACTATTGTTCAAGTGAAAGAATCACTTATATCATTCAATTTATAAATGTACATATTGTGTTGTTGCCAATATCTTAAGCTCTTCTTAGTCTCCCAATGTTGGCTATATTCTCCTATGATGTAAAGTGCTTTAGTGCTATAGCCAATTACCAAGCAATTTTTTTTTGTGGGTAATAACTCTTTTTTTTGAAAATGAGATTGTCTTTGATGATTGAAAGCACAATCCAAAAGCTCTTTTTTGATGTTGTTGTATTACATATATTTTTACTTGACCATACACCGGGCACCTAGCTATAGAAGCAAAATAATAAAGCAACAATAATTCTACCAAGTCTAATAAAGCCTTAAATAAAATTCAAATAATTTCTAATAACTCAATCAAACTTTAATCTATCAAAATATATTTAAAAAAAGTCACAAAAGAAATACAAAAAATCCTAATAAAAATCCCAATGTAATCCTATTTGAAACCTTAATTAAATCTTAATCAAATCTTAGGTCAAATCCAAATGAAATCCTAAATCCTAAACAAGTTTTAAATCAAATCCTAAAAAAATCCTAATTCTATCCAAATCCTAGACCAAATCCTAAACCAAATCCTAATCAAATCTTAAATCTTAAACAAACTCTTAACAAATCTTATGGCAAAATAGAATCTCAACAACTAATGATTAAATCATTGATATCAACTCAATTTTTTCATACTTCTTAATATCTTAGTTAAGAACAAGTATAAGAAAGATGAAATCAATTGCACATATCAATTGAGAAAAATACAAGATAATCCAATTAGGTGTTGGATAGCCTCTTACTCTAACCTGAATGTTGAACTTTCAGTGCCAATATCTCCTTTTTGAACTATTGAATTGCTCTCAAATTTCACTTAAACATTAGAAATCAAGTCTAATATCTATACAAAAGAATTTAATTTCAATTCAATTTACAAGTTGTTGAAGATCTTAGAAACACTCACTAACCCTCAAACTCCAATTTTTGAGACCTCAACCTACAAAAACTTTCATATACTTCAATCTAATCATTCAATAGACCTCAAAATTTGCATACACATTTATAACTAGCACAAAAACATATTTTCCAAATTTCATCCACAAATATACTATAGAAGTCAAGAAACCTTCAAATTTATAAATATATTTTAATTTTTTGAATCCTAATCTCATTAAGAACATTTTTAACTTTGAAAATCTATCAAAATCTCAATATTAATTCAAACGACATGAAACCAATGCCTAAATTTTTTTTCTTAAGTTTTCTCTCAAATTTCTTTTTTTGATCTACCAAAGAACCTTATAGTCACCATAAGTGCATGTTTTTGTACCTCAATATATGATTCTGACCCAGGTTGACAACCAATCCTCTCTAGATATCAATTCTTAGATTCTTAACCTAAAATTTGGTAAAATCTAGTCTTAAATCCTTTCTATACATGCCTATATTATTTAATTTTCCAATCTACTTTTGTTGTGCCTTATTTATGGTCCTACAAATCAAGTAAAAGCTTATTTTGTAAAAAGACAAGATTAGCACTTTTTAGTTTTATTATCATTTTGACTATTATTTATATTTCTAAAATAATTTGCTATTATATTTTAAAATAATATCTTCTATAATATAATATTTTCTTTTCTTTTTTATTCATTAGTTGTATTATATGACAACAATGTTCTTGTAATTTGTCAAAATTGACATCACGCATAAAATAATTCATAATCCAATCAATTGATTTGAATACAATATTTTGAGTGAATATGTATCAAGTGCTATGAATTGTGCCATAAACTATTACAAGTTCTTTTGCATCATCAAACTCAAAGAAGTTGTTTTCAAATATGTTTTCAATCTCTTTGCATTGTTCTTCAAATATTTCAACAAATTCTTCATCAATTAAGAAAATAGACAACATTTCTTAGTTACAAAAGATCTCTTATTTTTTAGAATATTAAGGTATCATGAAGTTGCACTATAGTATGCAATCCAAATGTTTTAGGATTTATTGTTTTTGGAGCATAGAGGAAGGACAAGGTTGTAGTGTGGTATGAAATGAAAGAGATTTAGTATTTCAAATTTTTTGGAGCACATAGACCTAGTAAGTTAGTAGTATAGTATAGAGTCAAAAGAGGTAGAGAGTTGATGCAAGCCACATAGTTTGTGATATTTCATACATCTCTCTTGTGATATTTGATTTCAAAATCACCCACCTTGCAAGGTAGGTGATTTTGAAGTATCACATGCTATTTCAAAATATCATGTGATATTTTGATATATCATCATAGATGAAGTATCATCCAAAAACCTTAAGTCTTAATCTTCTTATTGATATAATATATTGAATTAGTAATTAAAAAAATTCAAATATAAGATCTTTGTAAAAAATAAACATATTTTATTTCATATTCTTTATAAATAAAATTTGATTTTAAAGTATTTTAGAAAGCATTTTTATTTTACTAAAAAAATATTTTATTTTAAAATTATAATGGTTTTATTAATAATTATAATCATATTATTATGTGACATTTTTTATATACTAATTTATAGTTTTATATTGTCGTCAATATTAAAATGTAGTTTTGAGATATATATATATATATATATATATAGATAATGACATTTTATTTCTTATAAACCTTGGATTTGTAATTCATAGAATATTTAAGAAAATATCCATAATCAATTATATAAAAATAGAGTTATTTTGTTTATACTACTAAAGACATAAAATATTTAAAGAAATATCTATAGTCAATCATATATAAAATAGAGTTATTTTGTTTATACTACTAAAGACATAGAATATTTAAAGAAATATCTATAATCAATCATATATAAAATAGAGTTATTTTGTTTATACTACTAAAGACATAGAATATTTAAGGAAATATCTATAGTCAATCATATATAAAATAGAGTTATTTTGTTTGTACTACTAAAGACATATAAAATTATTTTTTAATTTCATTAAATATCTTGGCTTGTAATTTAGTTCTACTCTGAACTTAATGATTAAAACAATAAGTAATAAAATTAAAATTTTATGTGTTTAATAAAGCTAGTATTTATTATAATTTATTCTAATACTTACTTTTCTTTGCAAATTAAAACTTTAAAATTACAATTAAAATACTTTAAGGTATAAATGATAATCTATTCTTTTCTAAGTAGATAGATATAGTCACATAGTTAGACACTCATATTTTAATTAGTACAATCCCTGATGATAACATAATGTATGTTAATCTCTGATTCAAAGTGTAAATATGACCTGTTTATTTGATGACGGAAAGAATGCATTCTCTCCTTGAGAAAGTTACATCATTGTAAAAGAAATCAAAACTCTCTTTTTTTGTTTGACTTTTAATAAACTTTATAATGTACAAAACCTAGTTTTAATTTCTAAATTCTTTTAACAAATAAATGATGATATAATGTAAATCATATTCTAGAAACTCATTTGTCATGCAAAAAACATAACAGTTGTAAGTGTGATAAGCTTCTGTGAAGTATTTGGAAGAAAATCATTACTTCACATGATTTTACAATTAATCTCACCAAAAAAAATTCCAATTACAATTAATCTCACCAAAATAAAGTATTACAAATAGAACATCCAATGCATGAAGTAATTTAAAAAAAGAAAGAGAGTTTCTTCAAAAGAGGCAAAAAATTATAAAGTATATAAAAAAAGTAAAGCGTTCCCAATCGCGTTCCCAACCACGTTCTCAACGCGTTCTCCAAGAACTTTCTATAATCGTTACTTTTGTATGAGAGGGAACGAACGAACGAACGAACGACGAACAGACGAATGAACGATATCGGCAGCAAGGGCTTTGTTTTTTTTTCACATTAGGGCTAAGACGTCGGACCAGGGAGCGGGGGGACGGCTATTGGGTTGACCCCATAGGGGGCTGGGTAGGACCAGTGGGTGAATGACAGCTGGAAGAAGCATGGTGGGACCGTGACTGGCACGGAGGACAGTTCCTGTGCAGAACAATGTCTCCTCTCTGTCGTTCTCTCTCTCCGGCTCTGGCTCTCTGTCTCTCTCTCTCTCTCTCTCTCTCTCTCTCGGAGTGAGCGAGGAAGGAAGGGGAAGGAAGGAAGGAAGGAAGGCTTTGACGATGATGGTGGAGCTGCTGCTGCTGCTTTTGTGAATGAGGGTTAGACAGACAGACCAATACCATTGTGGAGTTTTAATGTAGGACGGAGGGAGCGCTATTGCTGCTGCTTTCGAAGCTTGGGTGAGTGTGGTGATATAGGGATGCTTTCCCTGCAAGCTGGAATCGGTTCGGAAGGGGTATATGAGTTTCGGTGAGGTAGGTGAATGGGAGACGTCGGGAGATTTAGTTTTTGCTCGTGATGACTACTGTGAGGTTTTCGTGATTGCAACGGTGTTGAATTGTGGGGATTAGAATCTGTGGTAGGACCGGAAAATTAATTTCTAGAACGAGCTTGTCTGTCGTGAAGAAGAGATTGATTGTCCCCTGTTTGTCTGATTTTTTATTTTTTATTTTTTGTTTTATTTTTATTTTTTAAATCACTTTGAAAAAGTAGTGGTTTTGTGTTGTAATTGTATGGTGGTGTATTGGATTTGGCGTAGGTTGCGGTTGGTGGATTGTGTTAGAGGTGCCGTTTGATGTGGTGAAGTGCATTAAACTTAAGCGTAGGAGTTTATGTGATTTTCTAGTTTAGGTTGCAGATATTGAGGCTGATGCTTGCAAACAGTTTGTTTGCTTCGCAAATTGAACTCCAAATAGGTGGCAGGTCAAGTATTCTAATTAGAAGTTGTTGTCAATGTTTTTTTTCAAACTCAATTATTCATGCCAGTGGTCAATCTACAGAAAACTGAGTTTGTTGCTGTTTCTTTTTTTCGTTTTCCAGGTTAAGGATTGGTACTCTACAAATGCTTTGGATTCTCGTCGTAGAAAATTCGAGTTCCCTCTGATGATTTGGGTTGATCAGTGGGGCGCTGGAAAGTATTTAGCAAGGCTATGGGAAGTAAGGGGCCGTAGGGTTGTGGTAATTTTCAAGTGAGGGAAGTATGGTTTTTTACGGTGTTACAATAACTCGCCTGACTTTCATGAATAGATAACATGGACAAAATCTGGGACTAGACGTTAGCGTGACCTACAATTCTGCTTATCAAACTGAATCCTGAGATTTTAATAGTTCCTTGCTTGGAACAACTCCCTGAAAAGGTTGCCAAAAGTTTCAACAAGATCCAGCAATATTCAATCAAATTTACATCATCCAGAAGGGGATTGCAGGACGTGCACTTCTTAAGTCTAGGTTATTCTGGTCACAATTCATTTCAGTATCTGCTCACATAAAAGTTCGTGCACATAGGTTCGTTGGTATTGGACACTATCTACAGCAAAGATAAAGCTCAGTACCAGAAGAAACTTAAAGCCATGGCAGCTGTTTGGAGAAACGCAGGAAGTTCAGGAGCTCTTGAATCTGGTAGTAGGTCAGCCCAGGTAGATATAATTCCTGACGACTCGTGTGATATATGTATGGGCGAAGACGGAGCATGTGATATTTGGTTTAGTCCCTGTGCGCACAAAGCATGTGCTTCATGCGTCCAGAAAATGCGTATTGCAAATGTTTATAAGGTAACGAGCAATGCCTATGCAGAACAGTTGTGGTGCTATCAGAACGTTTATGAAAGGAATAGCGTAGTTGAATGAAACGATTTGCTCTTTGACCTAGCAAGTACACAATGTTGTCGTACTTAGCATGACAGACAACAAAATCTACTGCAATTTCTCAGTTTTTGTTTGTTTTGGTATGTTTCATGTTTAAGTATTGTCTGTATAAGGATTCTGGCTAGTCTAATTTAGTTTTCGAACCTTAAGTTCTTGTGAAGGTTTTTAGAAAGTTACCTCCTCATGGATACGAACGTGATTGGTAACAGCACTCAAAATCGGAATATGATTAGGTTTAACTTGTTGTGGTTGTATTTGCAGGCTGATAAAGGTGTGAAATGTCCATTTTGTCGGCAATTAATAGAGTCATATTTAGATTCACCTCCATTACAACATCCAGCTTATTCTCCTTTTCCACCCGAATCAGCATCCTTTAATCTTGTTACGGGAAGGAATCCAGAGCAAGTTTCGAAAGCAGTAGCTGAAACATCGGTTAAGAAACCTTACGGTCGAGGGGGTATAGTATCTATTGGGGGTGGAAATGACTACATACCTCCTAAAGGTGTTACTGGAAGTGATGGGGGAGGTCTGCGGTCAAGTACACGAATGGATGATTTATTACCTGGTTACGTAGTACCCCCATTAAAAGATACAGACGACATAGTGAGCATGGCCATGGATCGAACGGTGATGTTTCGATCCCAGCGTGATGTTTGGCGTGTTTACAGTAATGATCAGTTGGATTCCATCAGACATGCCAGCGTATGAATATTGTGCGAAGAAATATGTTAGGATGAGTTGTTTGTAATGGAGCATTACTCTTTCGTGCATGCAGGGTGCTAGACATTTAGATTTCATGTTACGAGATGGATATCCGAAGCGTCACAAAGTGGCGAAACTTTGTCGAGAAATGCTTACTCCTTTTTCTGCGAAACTAGCCGTTCATGGTAAGCTATTTTGAACGGCTTACGGAGATGCTGTAAGGACTGGAGCAGGTCGCACACTATTGGAGGGAATGAGGCTCTGTAGGACATAGGTTTGGCTAGACGTAAAACCTGCTTAGCTGCACTTCACCTTCTTGATTGTTCTCTGATACTTACCAACAAGTCGTGGTGCGGTTTGTGTGTTGGCAGCTTCTGGGAATTATGTATTACAAAGAATGCTTGAGTATGCTGCGACTCACAGAGGAGAAGGTGGTAACACGGAGAGCTTCTTTACAAGTATTGTTCGTTCTTTCTGTCTAGACAAAGGGTTGGTAATGGCCGCCCAAGATCATCGAGGCACTTTCTCGGTTCAAAAGATGGTGAGCATTCTCTAATCGTTCGATATGATAGAGATATGTCTCGTGTGTCTGGAGTCTGGACGAGATTGGAACAACTTCCCCCGTATCATCATGACGTTAAATGTTCTGTTGTGTTACAGTTTTTAGGTCTGCTGTCTTTCGTCGGGATTTTGTAGCCGTTTCTTTCCTCAGACTATTCTAGGTTGTATTTGTTCTCTACCCTCGCCCTGGGGTATATGTCGACGAGATTACAGTAGTGTTCGCTGGAAATGTAAGTGGCGAGGTCATGTATATAAACATTGATGTGTATGGTTCGCTGATTGCAATGGCATGTAATGCAGCTGGTGTCGGTGAAAGGTACGGAGGAAGCAAATCTAGTAGCGACATGTATTCAAGGGTCTGTGGTAAGTGGTTGCTGTTGGGACGTCCGTTTTGAGCTAAATATTGTTGGGTATGTTTGGAGACGGCAGTTAGACGGAAGATGTCATTGGCTTCTATTGTGGACACTTGTATTCATGGGTAACAGGCAGTTGTATGAAGTTATACATATCTCAATTCAGCTACTGTAGCTACTGTGCTCTATTTGCTGAGAGACCCTAGTTCTGCTTTATTGAGGGGATAGTCTGTTTTTGACTCGTACGATATACAATGATGGTAAGCTTTTTTCTCTAGCCTCATTGATGCAGTCTTTGAGGTTTGTACTTAAATTGATGTTAGGATATGGAGATGCTGAGTTTTCGTCTTGTGCTTGTTGGAAATGCACGTGTAGGTACAGCTCGCGCTAGATCAATATGGAGTCTATGTTTTAGAGCGATTGGTAATCCTCCGTCTCACGTAACTTTGTCATCTATTTTCGTTCATGAATGTTTGGGAAAGCTGAAGCATCTCGATATCGTGTGTATTTAACTGGTTTCTTCTTTACTGGAAAACGGCAACTGGAACTTGCTTCTTTCATAGGATTCGCACGTGGCCTGTTTCTTAAGAGTGCTGTAGGTTCAAGACCTTATCAGGTTGGAACTTGGAGGTTTTGTGACAGGTAGAGGCTATGATAACCTCGTTGAACCCTGCACCGGGCAAGAAGGCACGAGTTCCATCAAAGGTTGCAATGAAGATTTTGGCTCAGATTTGTGAAGAAATGCACACTGATTCAGCGTCCTTAGCCTGCATTGCTAAGCACCAGGTCATCATCGACAATACCGTGTCTCTGTGTGGAGTAAAGCAGCTTGACTTTTATGTTCTGTGGTACATTCTGTGTACTGTTGGAAAGGACCCCCAACCCTTAACCTGCCGGGATTGTCATTTAATTTGGATATCGACATAGTCAGAGCGCAAAAATGCGAGAGACTGTCTTAATTGCCCTTCAGAGGGGTTGAGTATATGCTTGTGTTACTGATTTATATAAATCTTACGCGATTTGGCTGTCGAAAATCCCGCTGGCTATTTAGGAAGGCGCGGTGATGCATGCTTAATCAAGATGCGGTTTCTTTGTGTAGGTGAGTGGATTAATGCTTGTTGAGTGCATTCGGTGGGCGTTGCCACAACCTGAGGCCTTGACTGCAGCTGTAAGCCTAGCAAAATTGTCTAGTGATCTTGTTGGGTTCAAGCTATCTCATCGAACACTGCAGGGTGTGCTTAGGTGAGTTGCACCTTTATCTCTACCTTGTTTGTCTCTCTTTCTCATCCGTTAATTGTTTGACTAATGTTTTAAAGTGGTTCGATACACCCCTCGTTGATGTTGTGAATGTTTTTCGACGGTGCGTGGTCATGAGTTTTCTCATATCTGGTAATAATGGTTGTTTTTCGTCGTTAGGTGTACGTCCGATGACAATTAGTAGGATTTTTTGTGCTCTCAGTTTTCAGTACCTTTCTTAGCACCTGAAATGTTGATCAGTTTCTGTCGAGTCTTGAATTATAATGCAAATCAATTTGAAGGTCATCAACCATATGGGAGGAACCAGTGGTTCGGTGGTATTGTTTGAAGATATTTGAATTTCGACTTGCTCGTTGTTCCATGAGAATTAGAGTTTATTACTTACGTCATGTTCATTTGGCAGTCTGGAGGTGAAGGAAGTTGCGGAGCATGTTATCCAAGGCTTACAAGGGCACTATGTAGAATTGGCATCTGATACAATCGGATTTGGATTTAAGCTAGTTCGGGCATGCCTGGCAACTCCATGTGGTAAGTGCTTTTGAATTATATGAAAATAGTGCCTGTTTTGCATCGAAGTTTTTGCTAAAATCCTAAAATATGGCGCCGATATGGGAGGAAAAATGAGTAGTTTCAGCGAAGTTGTGGTGCCTCATGATTCTTGTCCAAGTTCACTTTTAGAATAGCGGGAGTGATCTTAACGTGGTGACGGAGGCGGGTTGATGGTTTTTTATTTCAGTTGGAGAAGACATGCGACTACTTGTTGTAAATGAACTTCTGGATGGCGTTATTTACCCATCTGCACATCATTCTTTGATCGATAATACAGCTGGTTGTGAAATGTTAGCTTTCGGACTCTGTCTTCTCTCGCGCAGGTGAGTCATTCTTGAAATTCCGCTTATAAAAATAGAAATAATTATTTAATGGATTGAAATATTTGACGCTATTCACCACAGTCGATTTCTGTGCGAGTGGGGTCTTAGCTAAAGGCAACTCATAGGTAGTGAAGTGTAGGGCACTGACGGAATTGGGATCTGAATTTTAAGTGGTTTTTTTCTTGTGTACTTTCAAGTTAATTTTGGTACTACACTCCCTCATGCATGATTCTCAGAGATGATGTATGTTAACATCCTTGGATGGTTTCTGCAGAATTTTAGATGAACGTTTGGACAAAATGATTATGTTTCTTGAACAAGATAAGTGCCTTGTATTTCGAGACCGCGTAGAGACTATGCGTAAACACTTTTTTAATGAAACCCCACCACCCAATATTCAGCTTGTTCCTGCTTCTGCTTCCCCAGCATCATTTGTTCCCTCAGTCACAAGAGTATGTTCACTGGATCTTAGTTCAAGCAACTCTGGAAACGACGTCGGTTGTAATTCTCTCTCTGGATATTCTCGGGTTTTTCAAGGACAACCAATGTCTGACCCATGGTCCGAGGAAGCTCCGCCAGGTGGTGTGTTTTCGTTGGAGCACGTCGAAAAGCCTTTGACCAGAGTAGGTTCGATGCCTCATGTTCGACCAGCTACTTCTAGTTCTCGTCTTGCGTCTCCGGAACACAATTACACAGGAGAATCAAGTGGCGTAGAGAATAGCACTAGCAACACAATGGGATCCCCCAGCGGTGGTACTTTAGGTGGACGAGGCAGTTCGAATCAATCTGGGAGTTCCACGCACACACCTCCGCAATTGAGGGATAGGAATGTTATCACAGTCCCTGGTCACAATGGCGTCGGTAGCTCTCACTCGCAGCTGTCATCTCTGGAAGGAAGGTCGGGATCTTTTGCTCCTTCCCATTTGCTGCGGTCTAACTCAATTAATGCGACTTCGCCACCCGGCTTGTCAGGATTGAGCAATGAGATATTGCTCCCTACTAGCAGTGAGTTTGGGAATGGAAGTCTAACAAGTAGCTCCTCTCGTAATGCACACAGTTTACTGCCTTACGGAAGTTCGGATTTCCTGGACTATAACTCAGATCCCGTGGAGTCTCCAACATACGCTGGTCCGAAGAAAACAAGTGAGCAGGACGTGCTGAGTGAAGCAGCTAAGTCTTCCGGGAGCCAGCGACAGCCTGGCATCTGTGCTGTGTGCTATCGGGATGCAGCAAATACGGTACGCCTTCTTTTAGTAATGTGTTCTGATTTAAAAATACTCTTTGGTTTGTCAGCCGTTGTTTTAGTTGGCGTGATTTGCTCCTAGTGAAGTTTTGCACCTGCTTGGGAACCCGTGGTTTTGCGTTTTCGGTGATTTAAACCTGTGTGTACCAAGTTTTTGACGTGGTCTTGCGCTGTAGGTTTTGTTGAACTGCTCACACATGTGCTGCTGCACCGTGTGCTCACGAGCTGTAAAGCTCTGTCCTATCTGCAACAACAAGGTGACCAACGTAATAGACATTCGACCAGTGGGGATGCCACCTAGTCCGTCATCTTCTCTGCCTGCACAAATTGTGGGGTCGAATGCATGGGACATGTCTAGGATGGCAAACTCCGTTTCATCGATTGTTAACAATTTGGTAGATGTGAGCAACGGGGCAATTCAGTTTAGAGAAGGCCCTTCGCGACCCTCGTCTGCAAGCTCTCAATATCAAGGTAGCGAACCAGGACGATTCGAGGGCAGCACCGTGAATGCAGTAAATCAGCATTATCCATTCCGACATTTTTCACCAGATCAGCCTCCACCTGGAATTCCAGTACCAAAGCAGAGTCCCGTGCAGTCAGGGAGTACCGTTCTTCGCAGCACAAGTCCTCAAACGATCACTCCAATGAACGCTAGTCCCATTACTTCCATTTCTATGGGTGGTGCTAGACCTCTTTTCCTTCCTTCTGATTTCTATCCACAAGCTATTATAGGGAATGGTGCGGCGGGATCTACTTTCTCATCCTACTCAATTGCTGCCCCTAGTTTTAATCAGCATATGGTTCCTTCGAGTTCTGTCAACAGTGCAGCGACTAATCTGAATGGATCTGCTTTGAACCTGCCGGCAGCAGCAGCAGCTGTGACTTCGCCGATCCCTGGGCGTCGCGCTCCTGCTCCTTACCGACCACCTGGATTGTATCGGCCGCCGGACCTGTTTACGCAGCCAGCAGTTTCGGCAGAAACACAATCCAATAACAGCTCAGTGATGTCGGACTTTGCAAACATGGTTCCTTCCCAGTGGAGGACATATCAGTAGTGGTGCAGTGGAATGGTTTGGAAATCATTCCTTCGAGTAGTGAGAGGAAGTATATTGTCCTCTGCGTGAGGATTAGGTGGTATGCTAGTTAATTCATAGTTAGATAATGGTCACGCACATGCTTTTACTTTTAAGAGGTTCGTGAACATCTCCAATCACTTGATTGAGGTAGTAGATTATTGAGAGGAGCATCGGTCAGTGAAAACTAGACACAATTGTGTATCGAGTTCTTTATTTGGCGTTCTGTAAGGGACCCATATATAAGTGTTGTTTCTATTTTCCAATGTTTTACATGCAGAGTGTGGGGTTGCACATTTGCCAGGCAGTAGTGCTGGGGTTTCAATTTTCGTAAGTTCTGTTGAGGAAGTTTTTAATGTTTATGAACGCTTAGGGTGAGACACTGAGTAGAATTAAGTGGCTTGTATTGTTTGTCTCGAAATCGAACATGAAGGTGTTGAAAACATCAGAAGAGAATGTGAAGCCATGCATTTTGGACAGATCAGCTAGAAAAGAGGTATGTTGGATTTGGTATGCAAAATAAGTCTATGTTTGTGTATATAATAATGGATAGGATGCAGTGTGATGTGAAAAATGATCAGTATTTCTCTGCAAATCACCAATAACAGACAAACATTGCTGTGACCGGTATTTTAACCAAACATGTTTTTCTTTAAAAACACGGTGAAAAAAAAAAAAAAAAAAAAAAATCAAATTAGTTCTTTGAGATTGTTCACATATGTATATGTGAATACATATATATATATATATATATATATATATATACATATACACATTTGGAAGGTTTATTTTGATGTATACTTTAGATACTTGTTGGTATTTTCCCACATCCATGTCAAAAACTACAATGTTTCTTAAGAAAATATTTTAATTTTTTTTGACATAACGATATTTGTTTTTTAAATGTGGAATACAATCGAATTTGAAGCTGAATACAAATCAAATAAACAAGAAAACTCTTGCTAGACATCACATTCACTCATTGATTGGTTTGAGTATTTCTTTTTCTTTACTTTGTAATCAAATAGATTTTCAACCTCATTATTCAACTTAAACCATCCCAAACAATAATCATCGTTACCACTCTTAGAAAAAGTTCACCTTTAAGAGATAAACATAGGATTTAGCATTAGGGTTTAGGATTTCGCCTTCTCCCTTCCGTCTCGAAAGATCACGACAATCGAATACATGCAGATGGGTATTATACGGAGGTTTCTGTTTATTAATTTATCGTTGAATGAAAATGAATAGAATCACCCAAAGAATGGCACATAATATCCCCTCTGCTGAATCGAATCCTGATTCAGAGACTGACGATTCGACACCAATGCGGCGTCGGTTGAGCACATGGATCAGCACGCTATGGATCTTCAGCGGCGTCAACAGTTCGAGCAATCCTTGGACATACTTGGAAAACTTGGAGCCTGCTAATGACTACAGCGAACAATCGATCGCATCGCGTTGATAAACCGCTCATCCTGGAAGCTGGAGCGCTGCGAGCTGCTTGATGTTCATGGGATAGGCGTCCGATGGGGAGCCGGAGAAGAAGCGGTTGCCGATGATGACGTTGGCAGCATCTGTGGGATGGTAAGGATCCCAGAAGAAGTAGCTCTTCCTGTTCCTACAGAAGGGGACCCCGGGGAAGCAGGGAGATAATCCACGGTGGAAGCCGATCGGCACACCGCAGCACGCTTGATCCTTCGTTGCGAATCCTGCACAGGAAGTCGATATCATGACAGTGTTTCACATTAAGGGATGGGGGTGGAATTGAAGGTCGAGATGAAGTGATTGTTGTGTTACCGAAGCCCCCGGGGTTGCTGATAATCTGGCTGACTACATTGAAGGAGTTCGCTAGGATGAACTTTGCATTGGGATACTTGCCGTTGAGCTCATCCACCAGTGACTTGAGCGCGGAGTTGAAGCTCATGACGAGGGAGTTGTCTGATTGCACACACTGCCCCTTCGTCGTGGATGACACTGCCATGCGGTAGGGGATGCATCCCAGCGGCCCCACGTTGGAGATGACGAGCTTCCGGGCTCCGAGATTCACGAGAGCCTGGCACATTTATGTGATGTTACTAGCAATCTATCAAGTAACAGAGATCAGATCGATTAGCAACTGAGGAGAAGCTTGAAGAGGATCATTTTTCGGACTGACCGTCAGCTGAGAACGGTACGTATTGATGAGCCGCTCTTGGAATCTCTTCGGGGTGAATAATCTGGGAGACGGGGACCCGACAACCAAGTAGTTGTTGAGAAAATCGTTGGATCCCATGGTGACGGAGTAAATGGAGTTTCTAATGAGAGCGGCCCCAGATTCCGGACCCAGAAGCTGCATAATTTGCTGAGTGGTGTTGCGGAACATACTGATTTGTTGCCACAGTGGAATTCGATTTACGAATGTGTAGCCAGTGAAGTCGAGAATGCCTGCTCCGCCTGAGGCATAGTTTACTCCACGAAGAATCGCCTTGCCCTTCGCCGCGGGGTTAAGGAACACGGGGGCAAAAGGGATGCCCAGAAGCTGCCCTGCCAGTTCCAATATCCAAACCAGGGATTGAAAGTGCAATTAGACTCTAGATTTTTTTGAGGTTAAAATAGGGAGTTTTAAGAGGGGGAAGCGATGACGGTTATTCTCTTACCAATGATGTCAGCGACTGTTCGACCGTTGCAGAATCTTCCGGTAGCTTTGCCCCCAGGGAAATCGACTCCATTACCACCGTAATTGGCTCTTGCCAACGAACCTATGTAGTTGTTGTTGCCGGCGTCGACAAGAGAGTCGCCGAATATGAAAGAGGCTGTTGGGAAACTACTACTCGAAGCTTGTGGACCAGGATTTACGATGACCTGTGCACCGCATGAGAACGATCCACCAAGGTAGCATAAGAGCAGGATCGTAGTCCACTGTTGAAATTGCGTCGACGGGGTGCACCCCTGGAATGCCATGTCGGGGGAATCCAATCGGATGGCAGCCACAAACTAATTCAGTTGATGACGAGTCTCAGCAAGTTGGGGCTAGAGAGGTGAGCTCGATAAACCAATCGTCTGAAACAGATTGGTAAAATGATCAATTGCGAACGAAATTCAATCAGAAACAGCAGCTACACCCCATCACTCTCCCCATTCTCAGAATCAAATGCATGGCATCAATTACCCATACAAAATGAAAATGAAAATGAAAAACAAGCCAATTCTTCCTGCGACACGTCGAGCAACGACTCCAGATAGTTCGAGCGCGCGAAGTGCAGGCGATCAAAGATGCACGCTCAGATCACCACACACCAGACCCACTGTCCACGACGGCGATGCGACCACCACCAGCGCTCCACGTCGACGTTCCACCGAGCGCACAATCAGCGACGAATCGACTAAGTCCACTAGTGCATTTAACAGGAAACAAACGCACCCTAAGTGACCTTCAGACTGGCGGTCGATGCTTCACCCTGGCGGATCCTCTTCACAGAATGCTCCACACCCATGGGCTCCACAGAGATCATCACGGCGCTACGAGCACAGCGAGCAGGTGGGCAGAGTGGGACATGATATAGAGAAAGGGAAAAGACAGCTGTGGGGATGAATCCGCCGTCGCGAACCCACCCACCCACCCACCCCCAGACTGCGCTGCAGGCATTGAGAGCCGCGTTATGGAGGCGGCGAGGGTGGATGAGCGCGACAGCGCTTCAGTGAATGTTGCGTCGCGTCGTCAATGCCCCGCTTGTGGCCATTCCGCGCTCCTTTCCGAGCTTGATGAAGCTGGATACACACACTCACACACATACTGTGGCGCTTCGCTTACTGGTCTTCGAAGTTTGCTCAGCGTTTGCTTTGTTTCGTTTTCCAGCTGCAAGCCCACAAACAGACTTATTCATAAGTACGTGAATGTGAATATATATATATATATATATATGACACAACAGGACACATACGTGCTTGTATATGTTACTCGTTACATTTCTTCACATGTTGGAGATGGAGTTTTTAGTTGTATGTAGCTTGGAATATGTTATTATAATTTTTTTGTTTTTGTTTTTCCTGTTTGGAGTAGTTGGTGGATGTTATGTTTTGATTTGAGATTTTGTTGTGTTGTGAAAGATGTATCAATTCAGTGGATTGGTGTTGTTCCCAATCCTTCAAAATGGCCTTCAGTGATGAGTATTTTTGTTCTTGATTATAGAAGTGAATGTTTTGAGTTTAACTTTTGGATAATAAACCAAGAAATTACAAGCTCTATGTTGATCATAAATCAACATTAAATCTAATTGATATTAATGTGTGATGTAAAGTACATAATTAAGAAAAACTACTAAAAAGATATTATAACTGATCCCAAACCTCAGATTTACTACCTTTTATTAGTGACTTTGTCTATTTTAAGGTGAAGAGATTTAGATGAATGTATAGCATTCTTCGTGGGATGTAATAGGGAATTTGTACGGGAAGAAAAGCAAAAACTTTTCTGAAGACGAAATTAGTACATCACTAACAAAGACAGAGTGTTCTATACCGGCTCTATTAACGAGCTGCAACATCCACGTCAGCAGTAAGTGTCACCTTCTCCCACTTCAGCAATATAAGTCCTTAACAATCGAAGCTGTCATGATTACAGTTAACATGATGTTATTTCAGTTCGGTCTGCCAGGTGCATGTTCCTAAATGGTATTTTTAAAGAATAAATTCGGAATGTTCATTGCACATTCTGTCCATGCGGTTATTACATTAGCTTCAGTGTACGTGGTCTACGTCCAGATGAGCGGGCCTTATCAGTTGGAGGTTCAAATGCAAGTGCAGAATAGTAGGTTCGGATCAAGCTCATCCAGGCAACACGACAAGGCGAAGTGCTGAAAATGTGCAATACTGCATTAAGTTTTGGGAAGAGCGTTACAGCAGCAAATAGTTTCCAGTCGCTGATGGGAATGGGGCAATGTGCCCCCAATGAATTCTATCAAAAAATGGTACACGATTTTTAGGCCGGTTGGGGGCCAGGCTGCTGCAATAGCAGGAGACAGGCCTAGATGTGCGACTAGATAAATCCCCTGACGTGACTGTACAAGCTGCGAAATCGGATGCGCCTGCAGTGTACGCCGAAAAGGAGTTATCAGCCGAAGATGCTGCGGGGGAAGTGGGTGGATCTTGCGTGCGTGGAGTTCATGATATAGCAGGACAGATGATTAGATCGACTGTGCCCAGGCAGAGGCACGGGACACAACGTGGTTCAGAGAAAGGAATTGTTCCACGCTCGCACGCTCGACAGGCTCCGTCCATCCCGCCGGGACCATCCACAAGCATGATCTCGACGCACGCAAGCTCGATGAGCTCGATCCATCCCACCAAGGTTGTCCAGTCCTTGGTTCAGCTAGAATTTCTCGCGCGCTGATCGACAGGCTCGCTCCTTTCCACCAAGCTCCGTTAACTCCTCCAAAAAGGCTGAACTCCACGAATGCTGATCGACAAGGCCGCTCCATTCCGCCATTCCACCGACAGTCCCCCGGTGATCCTGAACTCCACTGCACTGCGTCAGACCGGCTCCGGACGAATAAATTTAGCACCAGGCTCCGATACCGCTAAGAACTGATTCACCTCCGGTACTCCTATCGTTCACACCCTGTCAAGACAACATACACCACATACACACACAAAAAAACACAAGAAGCATACACAAAGCTTCACTCATGAAGCATATATAAAAACAATAACAAGGCGATTAAACAAGGAGCAGACTCATAGTGCTAACACAGCAAGGATGCATCCAATTCCCGAACCCACCAGGGCAGCAACCTACCTTTCATAGCAAGACCGTAAAATCAGCCAAGCGCTGCTGATAGATAAGTTCCAGGACTAAGACGCGTTGTAACGATTAACAAGTCAAATGACATCTCAGATAGGTCCAACGTTTTTCCCCGCGGCTGCATAGACAACCCTAATAGACCGACAGTGCACATGACAACCTCCATCTTGGAAGGTAACTTCTGCGTCAGATTTCGAAACCGCCGTGGTATTACCGACACGCTACAGGACACTACAAGAAGACCCTAGCCACAAATCCGAAATGTCACCATTTCCAGCACCTTGAGCCCTAGCGCATACCCAGATAAGGCGCCGCGCTATTCAGCTCTCAGAGCCAGGAGACGGCGTATTGCTAACAGAAACAATCTTCTAGAACTCAACGATTCGCGATCACCCTAACGAATACAGCATCACTCACTGAATCTGAGCACAGGGTCCTATGACTCCGTGCACACATTCCGCATAATAGACAACGTCAAGACCAATGAACGACTCCCATTAAGAACGCCCACCCACGATGCCCTTCCCGATATATTGAAACGCAACCTGGGTTTTAATTAATCCTGAAATAGAAACGGTGAACTGGGTCCGCGCATTGCACTTGGAAAACAAAACCGCGCCTCCGGCACAACCTCAACCCGGTACCCTCCCAGCAACATCTCCGCCATATCATCACAGGAATTCCAATACACCTCTTGGCAGTCAAATAGGTAATACAAAACTGCAGCACTGAATTCTCACAGAAAGCTCAGGTCACGTGAGTAGGGCAGACGGACGGGCATGGAGATAGAACGAGAAACAGGACGCGACACGGTGGATTTAATCTGAGGTTGCAGGGCACGGGCGCCAGTGACATAGAAACGGAAAACTTGGAAGGCAGAGTTGAAGACATTGAGAGGATTGAGGGCCATGGACGTCAAGGCAGAGAAACGAGGGAGGAAACGAGAGAAAGTCTGCGTCCAACGAGAACTATGCTGGTTTCGCTTGTCGAAGGACTCAGAGTGGAGAAGATAAGCACGAGCCGCCTTCTCCACAAGACGGTTGCGCATTGGTGTGCGGGGCGTGTCGATGCTCTCCACCATGGGAGAGCCTGGTATAGGAATCATCTCCGCCAAACTGGTATACATGGAAGGGGAGGATGCTGCCCTCGAGGCAGGCGATGTCAAGGTCGAAATTGGACGCAACCCGCGCTTCGGGAGCGTCAGGTCTGTCACATTGATCGGCTGCACCTGAGACTGCCATTTACAGTCAATAGTTAGAATCTCGGACACCTGATTGTGCACGAAATTTGCTCAATTCAACGAACTCTAATGCGCATTCGATGAACTCCAGTGTGGGGCATCACTGCGGACAGCAAAGCAAGTTGATAATGCTTCAGGAAAATTCTACGATGACAGTGGAAATAGTTCAAATTACCTTGCAGTTGTCGGCTGCACGCCTCGAAAGCAAGGTGTTCGGGCAGCGCTCTAGAAGAGCACGCTCCATCTGCACACGTCGCGAGAAAGACTAGTTAGCTACATGTGTACGGACACCCGCATTGTAGCAAATATTTCGACCTGCTCGATGCTCAACCCAGGCACATTCCCTTCCCCGTCATGATCCTAGGTTTCCCAGTCCAAAATCATCCGCGAGTGCACCGGGATGCTACACCCTCTTTCCGTAACGAATTGCACCCCTACTTGCTGGGAAAGGTGCTTCATCAGACAATGCTGACTGCTTCTCGGCCTGTGCCGCTCGTTCCCTGATCACCTAGTCCCCCACAGAAAACAAGGCCAAACCCATCTTCTATTCAGTCCCAGACCAATGTAGGTGTGGCCAAAGTACTTACGTGAACCGAAGAAGCTGCACGCCAACTCATCGTCGCTGAGACGGTACAGGGATTTCTGGAGCTGTGTTGGTGAAGCTCTCCAAGACGAGAATGGTATGGAGGCGAGGCCCTTTTGATACCAGAGTGCTGACCGTGGGAATGTCAGAATCTAGTGGACGGAGAGATCGTCGGACCGCACAGGGGGTCTGCTCACTCAGGAGCCAACGGTTCCACGTCCGTCGCGCTCGCGGCCCCAAACGGTCGTTACCTTAACATGTGATTTACTAATTTTCGCATTCACTCCCACGACCCCGCTGCGTGGGAAACAACCATAGATCTCTGATACGTACTCTTTTTGCTGATGGTCTGAATTCCTCGTCTAGTGTATTCTCCGTATTTGACGAATTAGATGCCCGAATATGGTCGACAGATTCTCCGATTTGGCCGGTCACCGATCTCGAGATCTAGTACGCCGAGTGCGCCTCACTCCCCTCTTCCCCACCTGCTGGACTTACAAAAATCTTAAACCACGAATTCCCGCCGCATGGGTGTGTTCGCCACAACCTCCATCTTGGCTGCTGTGCCAAGTGGACCTTATTTACCGCTACAAATGCTGATAACAACGAAAATAACTTAGAATCTTCTGGGAAACCTTGCAACCTTGTAGATCGACAGACGTGTTAGTATCTTTATTCTTGTGAAACCGTATGACATCTATTCGCGAATTTCGGCATGTATATATTTATCATCGATCGCGTAATTAATGGAGGTTGAAGTTCTCAGATGAGCCTCGCCTGCAGCCGTTTTTTCGGTACTTTCCCCTGGCATATGACACCATTCTCTTCATTTGTTGACGATCAATTCATTGCACCACCAGCACTACATTCAAGAAACCAACCATCTTTCGTCTTTTGTCTCCACGATCAGGAAATTCACAGTTACTTTCACTTTTGAGTTAGGGTTAGGAAGAAGATCTGGGTTCCTCCCAATGAAACAGAAAAATAAAATAAAAAAAGATGCTGAAAACTGCACACTTGTACTAATATCGATCTCCTCATTCGCTTTTGCGAGAAGTCGAAGCTCCATGCCAGTGACTGGAAGGTGAGATATTCGTAAGGGGCAGGAAAGTCATTCCATCAATTTGCATTCACCCTCTAGTTGCAACTCATTAAACCGCGGTATCAAGTCTCCCAGTGTGCGATTGTGGCAATCATTGTCAACGATTTATTTAAGGTCGTGGAAGGTCGACTTCAGTGTGCGGCGTCAGAATCGGCCAAATTCAACCACTGTTTAAAAAGAGACAATAAAAACACCTTGCTCTAATTGCAGGCCCTTCCAGCAAAGAATTTGAAGAGGAGAGGTGGAATTAGAACGTCTCGGACACGAGAGAGAGGCCACGTCAGTAAGATTTCTTTGGCGCTTAAATAAACCCACACCGCCCAACCAAATTGGGCAGCAGCAATCGCCGCTCGCTGGCCCCTTCACGCCGCAGTGTAGCTCGGCGACGGCGGCTTCACGCTCTCTTTCAATTCTTCACTGTGGTGGGAAACGCAGCTAGCCTCGTTCCCCCGTCGTTCGAGCTGCGTTCCCTATTTTAGGGTTTGATAATGGGTATACGAACACATTCATCCATGAGGGTGATGAGTTTGATGAATAGTCGTAGAATGTTCCCTCATAAGTTTATGTGGACTTCACCCTATTTGTTCTATTTTGGTATGTGATCTTTTGAGATAGGATTAGTAATTATTCTTACATACTTTTGTGAGGCCATTTTTGGGGCATACTTCAACTTGGTTTTGTAACAAAATGCACAATTTTTGTAAGACTTAAAAATAAACTATGATTTTATTTTTTATATTGTTTGAATATTATTGATTGAAGACTTAAGGTTAGCTTCTAAGATTTTTTGTGGTGACGTAGATTCTATGGGGGTGGAGGGGGCGGGAGGAGACTAAATATAAAATAAAATAATAAAATAAAATAACTCGGAACAAAATTTCTTTGGGACCAAGCTCATTATTTCTAAAAACAATTATGTATGATGAATTTGAATATTTAAATTTGATTCTGTTTTAATGAATACAATCCGTCTTTTCCATGGATTTCCTGAATGTATCCAAGTAAACCTTTACCAGAAGTGAAGGAATATGGAATTTAAATTTATTTGTTAAAATTACCTTTAAAGATAAATCAAGAGTGAAATATCCTCAAAACGGCTATAGTTTGAAACCCACTGCAGGATATATACATGAACGTGATTTTTAATTTTATAGTTTAATTTTATAAACAACAGAAGTAAACAAAAAAATTTTGTTGTAAAGTATCTAGTTAATATACATATAATTTCTCATTTATGAGAATATATTAATATGTGATTGAAACACTTATTAATATATAATTAAGCCCATTTTTTGAATTTTTTTAATAAGATCCAGATCGGTTCAAATAGATGTTGTGTTCTTACTTTTGTTTGTATTTTATTTACTTTTTTTTGTACTGTGGCAAAAACATAACTGCGTGTTGTAGATGCACGTGGAGGTATTCTTTTTAATCATGATAAGTAAATTGTTGATTTTACAAAGAGACGTCTTGAATATCTTGTTCAATTAAATGATTTTGCAAGAGCCACATACATGGACACTGTGACCTTTCTTTTTGTTGTATAAAACAATTGTATTGGCTTTACAAAATGCAAGCTGAATTCAATCTGACAAACGATATTGTTTTACATTGCTCCCAACACTATTATATTGATAAGTTTATTTTTTTCTAAATTTCTAATCACATGTTCTAATATTGAGTTGTTGAAAAAAAATCCATAAAAATTGCTTATCAGTTGATTGTATTAAAGCAACATCAAAATAATCAATTCAGGACAAGGTTCTGTGGTTTAGTTTGATCGGATAATTTTAAAAATATATTGCAATAGAAATTTGAATTTGAACAACTGATAAGCCTAATTTAAGCCACCCATGTTATTCACCAAAACATTTCGTGAGTACATAATATATTTTGAGATAAAAAATAATTATACACCAAAAGAAAATAAAAAATAAATCTATGACAGACACAGTTAATTGTGAGTTTCAATAAAATTTTATTATAATCCATACTACTTTAATGTTCTTATTGTTACATACAAGGGGAGATATATTGAACTTTTGATGGCACTGATGAATTATTTAACAGTTTATTGTAAGTCAAATGTAAATTCAACTTATAAAAATGATAGACTATGATTCAAATATCATAATAATCACAATCATTTCCACGCACACCCACATATATATATATATATATATACACACACACACACACACACAACTGCAAATATACAAATAGAGTGATTTTAAAACTGTTTTGAGATAGTTCTACTCATTCACAGTAACAATCAAATCTCAGTTGCAATGAAAATTTAAAAATAAAACTTAACCATTCACAAAAGAAAGTAACGCCAGGACACAAGCATTGTAACAGAGATTGATGAACTCGTGAGCATTGTAAAATGCCACATTACGGTGTTGTTATTCACATTTCCCTCCAAATGAGTCGCCACAAAAAGCAGCATATTCTTCACCCATTTTGCTTCGTGCAGCCCAAATTGGCAAGTAGCCGTTGCCTCCAAATCTCCTCTGCCACTTCATCCACCTACGAACATTCATCCACCGCCGTTGCTTCCTTGGTTCGATTGCTTGTTTTATCGTTCGTTCGCTTTTGTTTTGCGACTTCATGCTTTTTGTTTCCTTTTCCGAAAGGCGCTTTCGTTGCAGTTTGATCCCAACGAGGCCGCAAGGAGGAGAGCGCTGTTAGAGAGGTCGTAGATCGTATTAAAGTTCCAAGTCAACAAAGCGATTTCATGGCATTTCGCGGATGCGCGTCTTCACTTAAGAATAGACGCTCCGTTGAGAGAGGATGCGTGTATTGAATGCCCGTTAATGGCCCTCTTATTAGAAATTCAGCAACGCATTGGTGGAGGAGTTATAACGCTCGCTCACGAGATACCCAGTTGCAAAACAGACGTGACGATTGTCAGAGATGATAGAGGATGACCGAGGTGACTCAACAATGCCGTTTCCTTATCAATGTCCCATTGTCTCCACGAATCGAGGTTTCATCTCATTAACTGAGTGAGTTTTTATTGGGTTCCAACCCACTTTGCACTTAATGCTGCGAAGTAAGCATTAACATCACATTTGGGTAGTTAATGTGGATTAGAATGTTCAGATTTGGTCTTGTGTGTGGGAGCACGCCCTATTTAAAGTGCTCTGGACGCCTCCAGATGGTGATGAATGAGTTGGTATGATATTTCAGGCTCTTACAGCGTGGAATGATTTGGTTGTGTATAGTTTGTGGGTTTTTGGTCAGCGTTTGTGGAATTTGCAAGGGAAGAGTTCTCTTGTAAATGTGATTTTAGCATTCCGAATGTAATATTCTTGAGGGTGGTATCTGCGTGTGCTTGTTATTCCATGTGCGATGATGAATGAACTATTTGCCCGTTCACAAGATCTGAGATCGGAACATTAAACAACAATCGGATTAACTCAATTTAAACAACTAGTAACGCATTAAAAGACGCCACCTTAATTTGTCCACTACCCATAGTCTGTAACGGAGCTGCCATCCAGTTGGTACTCACGTCACAACTGATCCTGTCTCCAAGAAGCCGTCCACACAGTCCGACCCCCATGACCCTAGTTCGTGACACAATTCTCTCTTACTAGCTGGTTCGGCTGAGTCCTCATACCTCCTCCGAATCACCCGGGACTCAACGGAGACTGCTTATCATCCTCCACACTACATAATGCCCCCGCATTGTGTGGTCCCTTGGTGTGAGGGAGGTGGCCCGCCCAACCACTCCTATGCCACCTCGCCCCTGCACTCCCATGGGCTTGGGGATCGCCAAGGCTCAAATTATCTCTTCCACTCACAAGTGTAAGGGTCTTAACTTTTCAACCCTTACACCCTCTTCCACTTTGGAGAGTCAATGTCATCATTGACATATTGCCTTCAACTTAAGCAAGTTGAACGCAATATGAGTCTTATTCCTATTTTAAAGAATTTTTTATAATGGATGTTTTGCACCACATCCCTCTTGTTCCTAACTAGTTTGAAGGCTTCTTTTCTAATTAACCTCCATTTATTCCTTTTAGTCTTTCAAAAGTTTTTGGAATAGAGGAAGATTTTTTTTTTCCATTGAGATGGAATGCTAC